AAAAGGACTGATGAGCTAATGTTTAAAGTAGTATGATTTCTCGAGGAAGGGCACAGGAGAAATATTAATTATTATCAACTCTACCTTTTAAGCTACTATCATCTGATTATTATTGCACCTAGGAATAGAATGAGGATTCTGATTCATATCATTTTATGATGTTCAAACATGCTGTACTATGGTCTCTTGTCCTATAGTCTCCTTTCAAATGATTAACAAAAACCTGTGAGTTGGATGCTAATATTACTCTTTGCTATCTTCCAAAGATTATATGGAAAGAATAAAAGAAACAAATCCCACCATTTTATATACAGATTTTAATATTTTTCCACTTATCATTCATGATTATTCAGCCTTAATGCCTAAAAATGGAGCATTCTCAAGAAATAGAAGAGACATCCAAGCTATCCCAAAAATCATTAAATAAAGTTCATATGGTTTCTTTATTTCTATTTGTTCCACTCTGAGGAGAAGCACCACTAAAAGTAAATTCCTTAAACAAGAGATTTTGGAATTAGATGTATGTTAAAATATGCTTTAAAAAAAAAAGGGATAATTAACACTAATTTTATCATTTCTCAGGGATATTAATATAAATTGTCTTTTACATTTGCCCATTACCAATTATCAACCAATCTTCCACCTTGAACAAGTAATTTCATTTAGCAGATGTTTCTCTAGTACCCATTATATACAAGGAACTGATAGAAAGGTGGAAAGCTTGTATGTATAACAATAAAAAGTAGTGAAAAGTGTCCTCAGCATGTTAACAAGCTGTATTTATGAGTTTGAAGGAAAAAGAAAGTGCTTTTAGCTAAGTTGATAAGGAAGATTTGTTTCATGACAGAAGTGATATTTGAGTTGAGTCCAAAAAGACACGAAAGGGGCAAAGAGCTTTCCAGATGGCCTCAAATACAGACCCTGGGTACAGACAAACCAGCGTGAGCAATTCAGATCATGTAAAAGCTTGTTAGTTCAGGATATGGCAGTAAATCATGGAAGGCCAAAGGTAATCAGGCTAACAAGTCTGTGTTTAAAGAAAGACCCATCCAAGGATCTTGAGAGGAGTAGAGTTAGGTTTTTACCCATTCACTCAACAGATTTTGAGTCCCTATTATGTGTCAAACATTTCTCTAACCTGTATGGACACAGCAATAAATGAAAAAGGTGCAGGAAAAAAAAAAAATCTCTGCCTTCATTTTCATAGGGGGAAACAGACAAAAAACAAAATCAGTAAATAAATGGTACCACATATTTGAAGGTTAAATACTACAGATAATCAGTTATAAATAAAGCAGAAAAACAATTATAAACAGGTTGGTTAGGGCAATACTGGAGGTTATATTTGAGCAAGGGTTTGAAGTAGGTGAGGGAGCAAGCCAGGTAGGTATGTAACAGAATAGAATTCCAGGCAGAAGGAACTCTAATGCAAATACATTGCAGATCAGCAAAGCAACCTATGTGAGCAAGGAAGAGGACAGAGGGAGATGATGTCCGAGATGTAAGGAGGGCCACATCACTTAGAGTCTTATAGACAATTATGAGGACTCTGGACTTAGAAACATTAACCTCCCAGCACTGGGAAAGATGCATTGCAGGAGGGAAAGAATTAGTAGAAGAAACATTTGCAAAGCTATTTTCCTGGTGAAAAGTTCTGAAACTATTCATTTGATCACTCGTTCATCCACATTAATTCAGCACGTATCCAGGAAATACTATACTAGATATTGACGGTAAAACTGTGACTCCTGGGATAAACTTCTACCACATGAAGTTGGCCCTCTGACAGAATGATGACAGCATGAATAGAAAGGTCCCACATGTTGATAAGCTTCTAAAATGCTATAGAAATCTAAATTTTATTATGAGTTTAATATTGTAAAAGAGAAGGTCCCAAAAGGTCCAACTGTATAATCAGTCCTTAGTCTACCTCTTAAGTCACTTCTTAGCAATCTCCTTAATGAAATATTTGCCAATATTCTGTCCACTCTTACAATTGCTTTTGAAAAGAACGATTGGATATTCTACGTCAAAAGAAATCAAATACCCAAATGATGAAGAATAAACTAAATCTGAGGCTTATCTTCCCCCAGTTATGATGAGTCACAGAATATAGACTACAAACATGATTAATTCAAATACAAGCATTTACGAACAGAGTAATTTGGCAGCATAGAAGAAGCAAAGACCAGTCCAAAATTACCAAGTTTGTCTGTAACCTAGACAAGAGCATTTTCCAAACAAATTGCTGATGCATGAAGATAGTATCATTGGTGGCTGGATGACTGGCTTTAGTACCCCATAATGATAAACCCGCTGTCACAGAGGACAGATAGGAACTAGTTTCTGCTGTCAAACTGTCATGGAATTATTAAATATAGAGGGAGAAAATGACCCAAACAGTATGTAATGAGCTCCCTTTCATTCTTTCTCTACAAAAGCACATCTGTGGATTGTTAATGACTCTGAAATGGATGAACCAAATTGATGAGAAAGACAAACATCTTTCAGAGATAGGAAAAGGGAAAATCAACACACACACACAATGTTTATAAAATATAATTTAAAATATAAAGGCTTGTGAAAGTACTGTGGAACTATAAAGTGTCATACAGATGTAAGCTATTATTATTCATTTCCATATTACTTGATTGCTTTCCTTGGTTTTCTTTGTTTCTAATATAGATCACTAATCTTTTAAAAATATAGAGAAATACCAAGACTTATTCACAAGTAGTCCACGTGTGTGACTTTCAGGAGGTGGCACTGCCATCCCGAGTCCAGTCCTTTCCATGGTGCTGGATGATTTTCTTTTTTTTTTTTTCTTTTTTTTTTTTTTAAAGATTTTATTTATTTATTTGACAGACAAAGATCACAAGTAGGCAGAGAGGCAGGCAGAGAGAGAGGAGGAAGCAGGCTCCCTACCAAGCAGAGAGCCTGATGCGGGGCTCAATCCCAGGACCCCGGGACCATGACCCGAGCTGAAGGCAGAGGCTTTAACCCACTGAGCCACCCAGGCGCCCCACTGGATGGTTTTCTAATTCAATGTGGCCTGTGGGCTGTGCACGGTGACCTGAATGTGTATAGGGCTCTCATTACTCAGTTCACACAGATTCCGTACCAAGTCCTGTGGACGGACTTTCATTAACTACAGTCCCTGTACCACAAAGACTCAGTTGGCCTGCGGGGGCACCCATAAAGCCACATCTTAGCTCAGAGATATGACTTAAACATGAAACAACTCAAGCACAGGTCTTGGTGTCATGATCTACATACCTCCCTCAATAACCCTGAACTAAGCTGGACAACTTGGAGGGATGTCATATGGGAGCAAGAACATTAGACAGAATCATTGTGGCATCAACCCACACACTAAAGCCATCATTTCATTTGGTCATATTTGGTAATACTGAGGTTATCTGTCTTCGAAAATCTCAGAGTTAAAGAATTTATTTGTGCTTTAATACATAAGAAAGAAAGTAGTAAAGCAGTAGGAAACCAGGCCTTATTTCTTAGTTTAATTTAAGGACAGACACAAGTCTGAAAGTAATCAATAATCTGCTTGTTCTCAGGGTGGTATCAGTTAGCTATATCACAAAGGTAGTACGGTGTTAAAAAGAAAAAAATGACCAATATTTGTAAACATAGAGACATATAATCCTGGAAAGGGAAATCACCTTTAATACTCAGGTTTTCTGACTCAAAGGGAGAACTGTTTGAAACACCACTGCACACAAAGGACTTTATTTGACATAAATACACATTTCAAGTGGCAGTGAGGGGCCTTTTGGCACATGATTTGACTCTTTCACACAAGGTAAAAACACTAAGGAAGAAAGAAAAGTGAGAAGTCACTGAAGGAGAAATTAAATAGTAGATAAGTTGATATACATTCACTAGAACCCACTGTGAGAAATATAGAATGCAGTATTATAATGTTTATAAAGAAAAAATATCATTTTAATATATGACATTTACTATAAAACCTCAGACTTAAACATTCTCTAAAGTAATCTTTAAAATATAACACACTATCTTTCCACTAACACATACCCATAGGAAATTCATTCTTACATAACCTGTCTATACAGAGCCCAACAAGCATCTTACAGATTGTGTTATTATTTTTTATTCACATTTTCTCCACTGCAAAATAAAAAAAAAAAAAGGAAAAACAAAAACACACTTCACTCTTACATAAAATGTATTCACAGGCCCAGGCAGTATCATAAGAAGCAGAAGAATGGAATAAACAACTAATTGGTGTCCCAATTTCCAGATCAATGAACACCTTAACGGCGCAATGAAACCCTTTACCTCCACCTGCCAAGCCCTGAAGATTATGTGATTAAAAAATCCATGCCTTTAACCAGCTTCTCTCTCAGTATTTTTATTCCATACTACCCCCACTCAGCTGGCTAAACGACTAGGTAACAAGGTCAATCAAATGCAATACTTCTCTCTATTCAAATATAATGGAAATTTTGACCATTCCACATTCAAAGAGCAAATACATTCCCACACTGACAACCACATTCCATTGGCTTTTCCTGAAAGCAAAGTGTGACAGATGCCTTGGCTGTAATTGCCAATCAGCCTTTACATGGCAGCTGAAAACACAATACATCACTTTGATCTCCTTTGCTCTAAACACATCCACAATCAAGAAACCTGAACAAGGAATGAGAAATTGGCATCATTTCCAAAAGCTGTCACTCCACAGCACTTAAATACTATAATGTATATTTTGCTCATATTTTTATTTCTCTGTTTCAGAAACACTCTGTCGAAGACCTGAACAAAAATCACCTACACTCACAAATATATTTGAAGAACTATCTGGAACACACACTCTATTACCAAGTACAAAATCCAAATATAAGCATGTTTAATTAAATATCGCCACTACCACTTCCTTTTCCAGTTACACACTTGAGGGATAAAACCATATAAGCGTGCTCAGTGGATGTGGAAACAGTGTTCACAAGAATTGTACTCACATTTTGCAGGCAGGTCATAGCCACATGTGATTTTTGCATGTCCAGTTTCACAGCCGTTCAGGTTACGACATTCAGCCAGTAAACAGGGTCCAGCTGCTCTGTGAATGCAGCCATCCACTAAGAGAGAGAGAAAAAGTTAGCTCATTTTTGTCCTTTTGGAAGTAAATGTAAAACCAGAAACAAGACGAGAAAAAGAACTCAATTTGTTTGTCTTGAAAATCACCGTCGTCTCAAGGAAGAAAACCCATGATGTCCAATCCTTTAAACACTGTTGTTGCGCGCGCTTGTGTGTGTGTGTGTGTGTATTGAGCAGAGGTAGAAGGGTTACAGAAGTCATGTAGTGTGCTGGTAAACATTAAACAATAGCATGTCTTGGGATGGGGGAATCCCTGATTTGTTGCCTTTTCCACTCTCAATTGTGTAAATATCCCCACTATGTCCAATTTCAAACTATTAACTTGAGGTCACTGAACACACGGTGCAAAAGAAATGCTAACAGTTCTGTCTCCCAAGATGGTAAGTATTGCCTCTAACATAGCACAGGTTATAGTAGGAAAAGGTCAAGAAGAAAGTGAGAATAGCACTCTAAAACACCCGTACTCACTCTAAAACTGAGAGTAGAATTAAAGTCATTAAAAAAAGAGCCACACCTCAGAGCTCCCCCTCCCCCAACAGCAGGATACAAACATAGCTTGTGTCTTAGTAAATTCCCATAAAACCACCCTCACTTATCTGACAGGGACTAAGCCAAGAACTTCAGCTGTTCCTGCCCTCACTCCTCTACATGAACAGCTTCCTGCCTTTCACCAGTCTAAAGTCCCTTCAGTCCTCTGGCCTCTCATTCTTCCCCTTCACATCTGGCCTACACAGTCAGACTCGCCTTTTGAAAGCACAAATCTGATGCTGTTGGAAATTAAAACTGCATATGACTGGACGGGGTGGGTATGAGTGCACGGATGGAAGGCTCAAAGATCATATGCACTTACATTAGGAAATGGAAAACTTGGGTTCTTAGTTGTTGTTGAATGGGCCCCTTGGACTGAAAGGAAATGCAAGATTGCTAAATTAAGGGTAAAGAGACAAAAAGGGGGAGAGTAAGAGTCAGCTGGGATGTGAAAATAAAGCAGGATATTAGAGGTCAGAAGATGTCCCCCTCTCTCCACTGTCCACACCACCATGTAATTGACCCAGAGAATCTTCAACGTTCCGATCCTCATTCTTTCACTGTTCAGTCATACCTATACTCACACCTACAATTTTTCTCTTCCAAAAAAACCTTAATAAATTTTGTTCAAACTTTTTCATATAGCAATTCTACTTAAAAAATTATTCTATGGAATAATTAACACAAGTGCAAAAGCTGTAACTTTAAAATGTCAGAGTTGTTTATAATAGGGGAAACTTGGAACTTCTCAGAGGGGAAATTAGATAAATCAAAATCCATCTGTGCAATACTATTATGCAGCTGCTAAAAAGAATGGGCTAACTCTATATGCACCTAGTCCTAAACATGGAAAGATTTTGAAGGGAAATGTCAGGTTTAGAAGAGTATATAAATCATATAGTCACAATTTTGCTTACAAAGTTATACACACACAATTATACACAGATACATACACATACATACACACACATATATGCACCCCAAAAATATACTAAAATATAAAAAGTGATCATGAGATGGGAAACAGAGGGTGAGACTTTTAGGAAAAATATCAGGTCCTAATTTATGTTTGAATTTTTTTTTATAAGAGTTTCAAGAGAAGTATTTCGTTTTATTTTATTTTATTTTATTTTATTTTATTTTATTTATGAGAGAAGTATTTTAAATTGAACATTTTTTTTTCTTGGCAAAGAGAATTAGTTACTTAGTTTGAAATGGATGATTAAAATAGGATTTGCTAGTGTATTTAATCATATGCTGTCAAATATTGTCTGCATTATTTAGATTGCAGTATAATGCAGCTTGTAGATATCTAATTCTCAAAATCTTCATGTTATATCAGCATTCATGACTGCATTAGAGCACTGAAAAGGTGGCTGAAAAGCTATTTAATAATAAAGACTTCAGCTTATATTTATTGAATGCATCTATATGTCAGCCACCATACTCAGGACAACTCTACCAGCCGACTCTAATTTTATCATTTTCATTTTAGAGAAGCTTAGAAGATGTTAGTAACCTACCAATGTTCACAAAATATTGGCAATGTGATTCAAAACCTTAGGTTTGTCTGATAGAGCAACCATACCGTGACCCACTGTAATTCACCGCCTTCAGGACCGGAATCTAGGTCATCTTACCTCAATCCCTGCATGTCGCATGTTGAAGCACCATATTACATGGCCTTTCAGTTCCCATCAGTTCTACTTATGAGTTGTAACGGTCATACCATCAGGCACAGATTTCAAATGTGCAGTTTTGATGAGTATATAAAGGTATATATTCGTGTATACTCATGTAACTACGATACCAATAAAGACGCAAAATGTTTCCAATAACCTAAAAAGTTCTCTTGTGCCCTTTCTATCCAATTTCCCTTCTCACCCCACAGAGAGAACGCCTTTTCTGATTTCGACCATCCTCACTAAGTTTTGCCCATTATATAATATCAAACTTCATAAGAGATGGAAGGTGGAGGTTTGCTTCTTTTACTCAGCTTATTTTTGAGCTTCATCTGTACTATTGCATGCAGTAGTACTTCATTCCTCTTGATCCCCAAGTACTATTCCATGGTTGAAAGCACCATAATTTCCTTGTCCATTCATCTATAAATAGGCAGTAGCATATTTACAGTTTTTAGCTATTGTGAATAAATCTGCATACTTTACAAGTCCTTTTGTAACTATATATTTTTATTCCCATTGGACAAATAACTATTAATAAAATTGCTGGGTCAGTATATATTCTACTTTATAATGAACTAATATGCAGTTTTCCTAAATGATTATACCAGTATACATGTAGACCCAACAAAGTCTGAGAGTTCAAGATTTTTTTTTTTAAGATTTACTTATTTATTTGACAGACAGAGATCACAAGTAGGCAGAGCAGCAGGCAGAGAGAGAGGGGAGCAGGCTACCTGCTGAGCAGAGATCCGTTGTGCAGCTTGATCCCAGGACCCTGAGATCATGACCTGAGCCCAAGGCAGAGGCTTAAGCCACTCAGCCACCCAGGTGCCACCAGAGTTCAAGTTTTGACAATACTTTGGTGTTGTCAGCCTTTTTAATTTTGGCAAATTCTAATGGATATAAAGGGGTATCTCATTGTGATTTCAATTTGCATTTCCCTGATGATTAGTGATGTTAAATATCTTGCCAAGTGCTTCTTGGTCATTCATATATATTCTTTTTGGAAGTGTCTGCTCATGTCTTTTGCTAATTTTTATTGTCTTTTTATTACTGAGTTGTGTTAAATCTTCTATTAGTTCCATCCAATTTTTCTTTTTAATTTCAGAGATTTATTTTTTAGATCTTGATACTTTCCCTTGGTTGTTTTTCTTACAGTTTTCTTCCCTGATTTTTCCCATCTCCTCACCCACCTTTTCATGTAAATGCCTTCGCAGATTCTGCATAGTGATTTTAACATCCTGTCTGACAACTCCAGTGTCTATGTCATCTATGAGTTTGTTTGTATTGACTGATTTTTCCCATGACTCCGGGTCACATTTTCTTGTTCCTTTGCATGTCCAGCAATTACTGATGGCATATAAACACTGTGAATATGTTGTAAAGATTTTAAATTATATTTTCTTCCTCCAAACAGCATTGAAGTTTGCTCTGGCAAGCAGATTACTGCCAGGTAACACGAAGGTGCTTTGTTAAGGCAGGTTTATTCCAGTTTTATCCCTTACTCCTAGGAGATGGTCTTCACTCCCAAAGAATGAACCTTCCTAAGTTTCAATGGAAAACCCAAGTGTTTGTCAATTCCTTCTAACTCGGGGGAATTAAACTCTAAACTTTATATCCCTGAAGTGAGAAACTGAATGTTCTGCTCAGTTCTTTCATCCTTCTAGCTCTCGTTTTCTTCCTGGGCTCCTTGGACTCTTTATCTGTACATGTACAGTTTAAGGCTCTGCCAAAGATTACAGGTATTCATTTACAGATTTCGGAGCTCCCTCCCCTGTGACTCTCTCCCTTCAGGAATCTTAATCTCAACTCCTAGTCATTCTGACAATCTTGAATTCAGTCCTATGACTCCTAAAGCCAGTAAATCTACTGTTTTTTCCTTTGAGCCCTATCAGCCACTTCCCATGTGGGGCATAGAGGGACCATAGGGTCAAAGCCATTTAAAATGTGGATCTCACCCAGTGTGGTTTTCTTCTTTCCAAGGTAGAATCCTTTTTGGTTTCAGCTTGCTTTTAGCTGCTCTCTAGTGCCTATAAACAGTTTCTATCATTGCTTTTATATTTTTGTCAAGAATTTTAAATTACTATTGGTAGGAAGTCTACTCTGATATAAGCTAGTCTGTCATTATCAGAAGCTGGAAGTATACACTGCATTTTCTATTGGCTAAAACATGATATCATATTATTTTAGAGCTATATGTGGCCTTTGGAAAAAGTACATGGAGAAAAAAGGAAATGGTATTATCTATTGTATCAATCTGTACTTGAGAGTGGGCTGTTTTGTCTTTGAAAGACAAAAAATAAATAATATCTCTACACGTATAAACTCAGTATGAGATCTTAAAATTCTCTAACTTATTGTCAATTCTTTTGCTCGACTTATTTTTTCTAAAATGAAAATCTTATTTCATCACTTCCATACTAAGGTAATGTTTGTTATTTCCCATATTTTACATTATAAAACCCTTAACTATAAATCATGGTCTTTTAGACACTTCACAAATGTGGTTCCAACTTAACCTCCCAACCTCACATCATCCCACTCTCACTCCCTTGGCATCGTGTAATCTGACACATCTAAATCCTTGCCATTCCCTAAATACAACCCGACTTCCTTTGCAAAGTGTTAGAATATCCAGCTACCCCTCCCCTGTTTCCTGCCTAGCAAGGTCTTGCTCATTGTTCAACTTCTAGTTGCAATGTTACCCCCTCTAAAAAGCCATTCACAACATTTACAGTCCACAATAATGTCTTTTTATGTTCCCACAT